CGCTGCCGGCCTGGGGGGGTGGCCGCGCTCCGGCTGCGGCTGCTGCGGGCAGCCCGCCCGCCCGCCCCGGCTTGGGTTGCGCTTCGCTTTGGCAGGGCTGTGTACGAGCTTGGTCCGGCCTTGGCTGGTAAGGGTACGGTTGTTGGCCCGAGCTTGGTCGTTTTTTAAGATGCGTTTATTCCTCTCCGAGTTTCTTCAGACGCAGCTTTGAGCGCCGTAGGATGGGCAGCTGGAGAGTGGTGCGTTTACAGTAATTAAAAAAAGCAGGCCTTGCGTGGACACCAAGCAAACCTGTAGGGGTTTGGAATGAGTCAGGCGGCTTGGTGACTGCAGCGATTCTTGCAGAAACATTTCCATCCCATGCTACTAATTAAGGGCAAATTGTTCTGCCTGTAATTTGTAGGAAAGGCCTATTCTGAAAATGCAAGTGCAGCTCTCCAAAGAAATTCCAGTTGTGCTCATAAAATTAAAACTACAGTCCTGCTTACCTAAAAAACTACTCCTGCTATTATTTATGCACAGCATTGAACTTGAATATAGCAGTAGGTTTTTTTGAGGATGGTTTGCGAGATTTCAGTCTCGAACGTACGTGTGGGATAGTTTTAGTTCCTGCTCCAGAGCTGCGAGATACTTTTGCTGGTTATTAGTGTTTCTACTACACCGTAATGAAGAGTGAATAATAAGGTAATCTTTCAATTGAATTTGTATGAAATTATGGATATTACACTTTAAAAGTGTCATTCACAAGAGCAAGCCCTTACTTATAGATTCTTAAATGATTCAGCATGAAGCGCCTCGATCAAATATGATACACTTCCATGATCTAGTTCTTATCTCCTAAGACCCAATTGTGACATAAACAGTAAGATGTATTTGTAGCATATCTGTAACATAAATGTGTGATATTCACCAAATCATACGTTTCTCTTTGTATTGTCTTTCACTCCCAAGTGTGTTATCCAGGCTTGCTCATTTTATAAACCCAGGTTTGTAACCCAGGCTTTCTGAGTGGGTATTTCACTCCTTTGGGCAAGGACATGCCATGTCTTGTACTGATGAAGCCATTGCAGATGCACAGTTCAAGCTGTGGTGTTCACATAAGGCTTTCTGTTTTTTAAAGTTATGAGTGATTTTAATGTAGTTTCCACTTCTTGTAAATCCAGTTCACCCCAGCAAGTACAGCAGGGCCCCCTAGGTATGAGAAGGTGAGGGCTGACTGCCTATACCTGCAATGATACTGCATACCTGGAGCGTCTGTGCGTACTTGGCTGGTGGTAAAGCCCCTGTACCTCATCCTGTGTTTTGATAGGTCTGGAAACTTTTGTCTACTCTACCTTTCCTTTCATTGGTATTTCATGAATACTGAAGCTGCAGTTAATGTTCAAAGGCATGCTGTGTCACCATGTGTGTGTCACCATATTCTACTCTGTACCAATTGATTGCCCTGCCTGCAAAAGTCTGTGCCAGTAAAACATCGCATGTGTATAAGGGATGCAGAAAGGGAGGGAGGGCAAGATCTCCTGAATCTGCTAAAGGAAAAGTTTTTGAAATGTATTTAACATTGGATTAATTCACTGCTGGCCAAATAAATGTGGGAGTGAGTCCATCACAAACATATTTAGCCAAGCTGGTGTGCAGCTTAAATAACGACGGTGAGGACCAGCCTTTCTGGGTGATGGCATTGCTCAGCTTTTGCAGTTGGGTAGAGGAATGTTTTTCTAATTTAGCCAGGCTGAAGTGGATAGGCTGGTGGAAAAGGAGTTGATCGTGTGGGTTTGCGTGGTGAATTTTAGAAGCCCTTTTCAAATTGTTTTGGCTATATTGCAGTGCTGTGCTGACTCATGGTTGTCTCGACCTACTTTTTACCAATATGTAAAATAAATCCAGATATGGAGACTCATTTCACAAGCTTGTTAAATTCTGGCTTACTCTCATTAGATTAAAAAAACCTGTTCTGTGAAGTTTGAGTCCTCAATTGCTTTCCTTTAGCAGCAGCATTAACTAGCTTGTGAAATGAAATTCTGAGGGGAAAAGAGTGCTTAGTTCTGGCATGGTAGCATTTTCACACAGGTAATTTTCCCATTTTGCACTGTCTTATTGCAACAGCATGTCCAATATTTTTGGCATTCACAGTTGAAAATAGTGAATAATGGAGCCTTGGTTATATACATAACGTCTTTCCTTACTAAGCCTTAGTTTTGTGGGGATTATCAACCTCGAATTTATTTTTGACTCCTATTTGTCCTGAAGTCCAATTGATTTACTTCTTAGTTTTGCTTATTTCAATTCACATGGAACTTTAAATATCCCAACATATGGGAAATTATATTTTTAGTTCAGTGTATTTAAAACAACCAACCAATGAGAAAAAAAAGGCAATATATACACTACAGGAATCATGGCTCTGGGTTGGAAACTGTTAATATAGTAAAATAAAGGTGTAATTATATGAACATTTTATGCATTTTTACCTTGCTGTTTTTAATGCTGAATTCCCTTTGGTGTTCTTTATGGACCTTTAAAAATATTTTAAAATGGAATACTTCAATTTACGTAATTATAACTTAGTTCAATAAAATCAATGTATAATGTTACTGACAGGCAAAGTGGAGATAGTTTTATGAGGCTTAAAAGAATTTTTCAGGACACATGATGCCAATGTTTGCTGCTTTCTCTTTGTTTTGTCCTGTTTTGCAGGTGGAACTTGACGTCTTGTGGAACCAGCGTAGCCAGCTCAGAGTGCAGTGAGGAGCTGTTCTCATCGGTTTCAGTCGGTGATCAAGATGACTGTTACTCTCTATTGGATGACCAGGAGTTCACCTCTTTTGATTTGTTCCCCGAGGGTAGCGTCTGCAGTGATGTCTCCTCTTCTATCAGCACGTACTGGGATTGGTCAGACAGCGAGTTTGAATGGCAGGTAAACTAGTTCCACTGTAAATGTAAAATTTTGTATAGACTATTAAGTGCTGGATTTAGCTTTAATTGAAAAGTCCTTGGCATTTGTTTTTTGGTAAGTACTGAATGTAAGAGCAGATATCTGAATGTTCAGTGGTAAAGAAAATGTTTTGTTCCATTTTATTCCAGCGTTCTTAATCTGGAGGAGACACTGAAGGTCAGCTCTTCAAAGAGACATGCTTATATATCATGGTAGTTTGGTTTTAGTGACCAGCATGTGTCTTGTAGCCATGAGCTTAGATCCTTTGTACTGAGGATCTGCCCTGGTAATGAAATCTGGTTATAGATGTCTGCTTCCAGTGATTTGGTTGTATTAAATCTTCCTTTGGAATGGCGCTGGCACCTAGGTAAATTGTAGAAGCTCTTGCCATAGCCTATTTCCATCTTTTTGTCTGGGCCAAGTAAGAGTACAGAGCTCACTTTGTCTCACCAGGAAAAGTGTGAAAGTGAATCACGTCCTCCTTTTTCTTAGTCTGTATTGGATGCAGTCCTGGGTCAGGTATCTCCAGTTTGTGGTAGTCTTCTTTGTTCAGCAGTTTTTCAATTGTGATATGCAAATCTTTTTATATATATAGACTTAAACTGACTTTTTACGTTATAGACTTAAATCAACTGTGAACGTATACATAACTTTGAAACAGGAAACATGGTGCTTCAGAATATACCGAGGAATACTTTTAAATTTTGTCATAAAGCTTAGTCAAAGCATGTACAGAGTCTTCTAAATGCAGAATAAGGACTGAAAACACTGATTTCAAGAAGGCGCACATCCTGTTCCCATCCTGTTCCAGAAGACGCAAATGAACTTCAGATAACATGGACTGAGATTAGCTCTGAATTTCTTACTGTTTTAGTCTAACAGCTAGTCGCTATGTATATCATATCACAGAAGTTACAAGTGCATTTGTATAACACGGCCTGTAGGAACAACTCACATTGGATCCCAAAGATTCAGAGCTTCACTGAGTTGTGAAATTTTAATTGGCTGATAAACTCGTTGATTGTTTTGAAAAGAAGCAATTTCCCATGTCTTAGTTAGCTGACAGCATGTTTGATTAGTAACTAGCTTTTTTAAATGATTCTTTGTTTTTTAAAACAAGCATTTCTTAAGAGACATACTTGATTGGACTTGCACAATTTTGGAAAGACTTTTTTGTAGCTTTTTATGGTGTTATCTGGCAGAATCTAAGCATGAGTAATCCGACTGTCACACTTTAACTGGAAGTGCATTCAGAAATTACATGTCAGTTGTATAAATGAAGCTAGCTAAAGTTCTGCAGTTGCTTCTAGCAAAATGACAGTGATTTTAATTGAATTGTCTTGTGTAATTGTGGGGTGTGGTATGAATTGCAAACCTGCTTTGAAATTATCTTCTTTAAACTAGACTTATGCTTCAAAATGGGAGGTTTAGATTTAGATTTGGATTGTCATGGACAATTTACACTGATGGAGAAAGGAAATAGTTGAAATGCCACATGATTCTGCTGTTCTCTTAAATGCAAATTTTTAAAAACAGGATTCATAAGTAGAGAATAGTGTGAATTGAGTTTGCTGTATTTACTGTTTGTTGGAAGGTTCAAAGGAGTACTGCAGGGTTATGAGTAATTATTAAAAAGTTGTTAGAGTACATAGATAAGCTATGCTTTGCTAATTTGATGGTGTGTTTTGAATTGTTAATGGTGTTAGAATGATTTTAAATCTGCCTACTGTATTTTAAGGCTTTGTTCTTTCTCTTGCATATTACAAGTTGCCTGGCAGTGACATTACAAGTGGGAGTGATGTACTTTCTGATGTTATACCTAGTATTCCAAGCTCTCCTTGTCTGCTTCCAAAAAAGAAAAACAAGCACAGGAATCTCGATGAACTTCCATGGAGTGCAATGACAAATGATGAACAGGTGAAATTGACTTTTTTGCTATGTGAGAACTGTAATATACAGAAGAACTGTCAATCGGTGCAACATCTTAAAAGATATACAGATTGCTGTAGGTGTAAATGCAGACCTATGCAGTACTACTTCATTGTTGAAACTAAATCTTCTTGTCTTTTGCATCTGTAGTAGGCAGTTTAATGTGTACTCAAGCTTTCACCCTGAGTTTTTGAGGATACACAATGAGGCTAGAATCATAGGAAATGTGATATTTGAGTACGTTTTATTCTGTTGGTCCACCCTTTTTCCTTTAGAATCAATAATACTTTAAAATGACCTGCCTTTCTTCGGGTCCTAGGTTGAATATATTGAATATCTGAGTCGCAAAGTCAGTACAGAGATGGGCCTTCGAGAGCAACTTGATATTATTAAAATTATTGATCCTACTGCTCAGATCTCGCCTACAGATAGTGAATTCATTATTGAACTGAACTGTCTCACAGATGAAAAACTGAAACAGGTGAGTTAAGGTTTGTTCATTTGACTTCAGGGTTTCAGCATCTGATATGTCTTGCAAAATCTCTTATGGAGTTGTGATCAATTTTTATACATAATCATTAGATATAGGGAGATAACACTAGAGCATAATATTGTCAATGAGGGAAAACAGTTCAAAAGCATGTTGTTGTATGTATTAAACCTTTATATGAAAGACTGGTTATATATTCTCAATACGCGTTAAGCCTAAGATGGCGTGCGTGTAATGAGTTATGCTGTGGGCCTGGTACTGCTTATGACAAAGAGTATTCCACTTCATGACCATCAGCTGGTTGAGCATCTTCATTTGTTCACTGTATATAAACTAGTATTTAAAACTCCTGAAGGACTGGAGTTCATTGGAGAAGACCATAAATTTCACGTAAAAAGGGATACAGAAAATATGTTTTAAAGGTGGTACAAAATACAGATTATAACAAAGAAGAGTACCTGATTGGTACGGTAGATATATGCTACTGTTGTCTTAGTCTTTGTACTATTGTGGTGTGTTGTTGGGAAAAGATGCAGTATCCAAACTGAACTCCTCAGTGTTACTCTGTATTTGTGATTATGATGAAGATAAAGATTGAAAACAGAAAACATTCACTGTTTTTATGGGCTTGGCCTATTTCATATTTCAAACATTTTATAAGTATCTTCTTAAAGTAGAAAAGTACTGCTTGCCTTACACCCACTTTTGTTTGAATATATATGCAAAATAAAGGGTTTTGATACATTGGGTACACAGCTTAGTTCAGTTGAACTTGACTGATATATATATATGTATGTATGTGTGTATGTTTGATGTTATTAGTATAACTTTTTGTTAATACAAAATAATAAACTTGGGGGGCAGGAGGCGGGGGAGAAATCCCAAAGCTTATTACTTAGTTTTCTTCCTTCCATAATGAAGTAAATATTAATTTAGTTCTTAGTTAAGTTTTCTTGATGACTGCCGGATGGCTTTGGAGTTAAGCAGCCACAGAAAAATGTTTTAAAAGACAACTGATCCAATAACTTGATCATTATTAACAGGCAAATTGTGGTTTTTCCATGAAAAGGAGTATCTCAGTACAGTATTTATCAGGCTTTAGTAATTCTGCTGCCTCTGTTCTAAAGGTGAGAAACTATATCAAGGAACATGGACCTCGTCAACGGTCTGCAAGGGAAGGCTGGAAGAGGAGTAGCTACAGTTGTGCAAGTACCAGTGGTGTGAGTGGTGCCAGTGCCAGCAGCAGCAGTGCCAGCATGGTCAGCTCAGCAAGCAGCAGTGGTTCTAGTGTTGCTAACTCCGCTTCAAACTCGAGTGCCAACATGAGTCGAGCGCACAGTGATAGTAATTTGTCCACAAGTGCTGCAGAAAGAATCCGGGATTCAAAAGTAAAGTTTCTCATTATGTACATGTGTATTAAGCTGTCTAACTTGTTAAGGTTGCTTATGTGATCTTAACTGGGATATCTGTACTGAAGGAGCATGGTTAGTAACTGAGGATCTGCTGAAGTTAGATAACTAAACCAATGCTGACTGTTTCCTCTGACGTGACCATAAGGAATTTAACCTTGTGCTCTTCCCATTATTTCTAAGTGAAAGCCTGATGTTTGTATGTAGTAGATCTTCTCATTACTTTTGTTTAGAATACGGTGAGTGCGGTTTGAAAAAGGCCTTATGCATCTAACTTAATTCTTTGAATGAACACACAGTTTTACCCCCCCCAAAATTTAAGATTGATCAGCCTAATCTAGGCATAATTTCTGGATGGTAAAGACTATCTTGGGTTTTGGGTTTTTTTCCCAACCAGAAGTTGCATCAGGCTTTTTGAAGCTTCTTCAGTTTATTCTTCCAACATGTCTCATCAGATTACTTGGTGAGGAGTGACCTGTTGAAGCATGTTTCAATTAAAGTAGTACTGTGACACTTGTCCTGTCTCCATAATTTCAATTTCAGGTGTAGAGAAGAGCAGTTCCTGCTTGCTCTTCAACATCTCAGGTTGTTATTGTAAGTCAGTAATATTTCCCCTGCAATAAAGATTCTTCTGATCAAAGACTCAGCTATGCAACATCACAGGGTGATGTTGTGCCTCACAACTCAGACGTGGTAAATGGTCTTGATATTTTAATATTAGATACGATTTTGGATTAATGTTTGCACCACCTCTGAGAATTCGTTTTAGTTATTTTTCAGAGCAGACATTATTTTAGAGGTTAACTTATTTGCCAGCTTTAAAGGTAGTTTCTAATCTACACAACAAAATCTTTTTTTTTTGTTGGTTTTTTTTTTGTGTCTTTTGTCTTTTGACAGAAACGTTCCAAGCAACGGAAACTACAGCAAAAGGCCTTACGCAAGAGACAGCTGAAGGAACAAAGACAAGCTCGTAAGGAAAGACTGAGTGGATTATTTCTTAATGAAGAAGTGCTATCTTTAAAAGTGACTGAGGAGGACCATGAAGGAGATGTGGATGTTTTGATGTGACAGGGGTGAATTTATCAGTGTTCTTTCTAAGCCTTAAATGTATTATCCTTATTGTTTACATATATTTCTTGACCAAAATTTGATTAGTGTTAACAATATAAACCAGATCTTTTCTCAAGTGTAATTTTGGTAAGAAGGTTTAAGTATTGAGTAACTTCAGCTTTTTGAGACTAATTTTGCAACAAAGACTTCAGAAACTTAATTGTCTTCTGAAAAGCTGCTGAACAGATACAATTTTAAGGAAATTTGAACTTGTCTAACATGATAACTTACTTGCAAGCCCTAAGTCTAGGGGTGCGTTTGGATGACACTAAACATGCATTACTATGCTTCAGCTTTTTTGTTTTTTCCAACTTGTAATGTTACATTTAGCTTGTTCTGTCTTCCTTTCCCATTATTAGGAAGATTGTTTAGCATGAGGAAAAAATCTTTAGTTCTATAGCGCTTTCTTTGTCTTGCTCTTGGATCATACAAAATCAAAGTACTGTGATAAATCGCAACTTCTAGAAAAGGACTTATCTCAAACTGCATAGAAAACAAGAAACAGAACTTCTCACGCAGGGAATCTGTAACACAAATAACACCTAATAATGTTCTTTAGGAAGCAGAATTAAAAAAAAACCAAAAAAACCCCAACAACAACTTGCAAGCTTAGTCTTCAGAAAGTTATTTTGCTGCTCAATATCTTATAGTATGATTGTTACTAATGGTTGACCAGTACATCCCTAGTATTGCTATGAAAAGATTTAAATACAAACATCGTTTTGCATTGAAAGTACACTAATCTGCAATTAAGTTGTCTAGGACACTACAATAGTTAAAAATGCTACTGGAAACAGAAGCGAAAACAAGTGGCACACACAACTTTGGTGGTTTTTTCTCCCCAGAAGCATATCTAGATTCATGTTGGCAGGAGAACTTAATTAATGCAGCTGTGCTTTTTAATTGTATGTTTAGCTGAGGATGTGTCTTCTCTGTGGGTTGTTACACCATTACATGTTTCAGAATTCTGCTTTTGTTGTCTATCTGCTTTTGAAATTTCTCTTGCTAAGAAAACGAGGTAAAATTGTGGCTTTCATGTAGGAAGGTAAAAGTAGTTTTAACCTGTTTCCTAATTCTGACAATGTTAGGTGGCTTTTGTCTTTATGTTGGAACTACTTGTTACAGAACTCCTTCCCCCCACAGCTGAGATAAAAATCATACTTCTAAATTTCAGTGTGAAACTTAAAGGAGTATAAAAATATTTTCTAGTTCTGAGTTTAGGAAGTAATTTTTCATTATCTTGATCCTTCATTACTTTCATTTTGCTCCTGTGAATTAAGGAGTTTGGCAGTTCGGTGTGGGCTACAGGTGCCTGTAATTGCAGGATATAGCCCAATCCTGCAGAATTGCATGATCAACTTTATATAGGCCCACTCACATTCATTTTGCATGTCCTGCACAGACTTAGCCCTGACAGCCGAAGTATTTTTCTTTCAGAAGTGGCATTCCTTGTAGCCTCAAACTAAACTGACGAGTAAAATATCTGAAGAATGGCCTCTGAAAGGGTTTCAATAAGAAATAAATGAGGTCCATAGTCAAACTAGTATGTCTGAACTTAGTCACTCTTACTGCTGCTAGACAACAGGTACCCAGACTTGGCCATCGACTGATAAAAAACTATGTAATGTTGTTTTAAACTTGAGTGTTAGCTATCCCATATGGCCAGTTATTTGGCCACTAACCAGAAGTGAATGTTACCTATCAGTATTTGGCTGTACTGCATGAGAGCTGGTTGATGGCGCTCTCCCTTCTAGAAGAAATACCAAAAACTTCTTTACACTATACAAGTGACTGAGGATTTAGATTGACATAAATCTGGAGCTTCTTTTAAATATCTTGGAAGAAAAAATTGAATTGCTGTCTGTTCAGCTAATTTCAGGGTGCAGCTGTTGAACTCTTGCAACTTACCATGGCTGTAATGGATGAATTAATCATAAAACATTTTGCTGTGTGTACACTGTCACAGTTCAGTACAACCTTTATTTTCTGCAGTGACTTTGAAGTGTGATTCCCGCCCTCCCCTCCCCCCAGTGTCGTGGTTTAACCCCAGCCAGCAGCTAAGCACCACGCAGCCGCTCGCTCACTTCCCCCCCACCCAGTGGGATGGGGGAGAGGTTCGGGGGAAAAAAATAGTAAAACTTGTGGGTTGAGATAAGAACAGTTTTACAGAATGGAAAGGAAGAAACTAATAATGATGATAATAAGAATAATAAAATGACAAAAATAATAAAAAGATTGGAATATACAAAACAAGTGATGCACAATGCAATTGCCTACCACTTGCTGACCGATGCCCAGTTAATTCTCGAGCAGTGATCCCCCAGTTTATATACTGGACATGACGTCACATGGTATGGAGTACCCCTTTGGCCAGTCTGGGTCAGCTGTCCTGGCTGTGTCCCCTCCCATCTTCTTGTGCCCCTCCAGCCTTCTTGCTGGCTGGGCATGAGAAGCTGAAAAATCCTTGACTTAAGTCTAAACACTACTTAGCAACAACTGAAAACATCAGTGTGTTATCGACATTCTTCTGGTACTGAACCCAAAACATGACACTATACCAGCTGCTAGAAAGAAAATTAACTCTGTCCCAGTTGAAACCAGGACACTGATGAAAAACACACACTTAATACTGTAGAGAAGTGAGACACTGAAATGAATTGTAATAAAGGTGTGATAGGAGCGTGGTGGAGCATGAAGGCGTGTCGCTTTATTCTGTTTCAGCAGCTCTTCAGTGTTTAAAATCCTTCAGGCTTTGTTGAGAGAAGACCCCCTCATTTTGATGAGGTACAGTTCTTTTTGATCACCTGTCTACTAGCTTCCAGAGGTCATGAAATGAGGGAGGATAGTATTTCCATCTTGATCTTGGCGTGAGCATGTAAGTATAAATTAATCTAAGTGGTTAGATGGGTCCAGTTGCTCATCTGTTACATTGGATGAAAAAGTCCTGGGTGCCACAGTAGCTGATTGTGGTATGTCATCTCCAGCTGGGTACTTCAGTCACTTGTGTGACAGTTAAAACGATAGAAGAGAGTGGATTTCCAGGGGTTCCGCGGTAATAATTTATAGCTTTGTAATCTTGTAGTCCCAGGATGCTTATAACCGAAGAAACTCTGAATGTTCTGATAAGACTGCAGAATAACATCTTGATTACCTGAATGTTGTCTTTGCCAAGTACTTGGCATCTCAGAGGTTCAAGCCTGAAGTAGCTGTGGGATTCAAGAGTTCCCACATACTTCTACATGTTTGCATTTTTTTCCTGTTTCTCATCCTTCCGAGTTCTAGTGACACACTCATTTTGTGGAGGGGGCAGGTGTTTTTGTCAGATTCTTGTCTTTCCCTGCAATATGCTGTGTGCTTACTCAGGGAAGTGGTAGAGGCACCATCTCTGGAGGTATTTAAAAGAAGTGTAGATGCGGTGCTTAGGGATGTGGTTTAGTGGTGGACTTGGCAGTGTTAGGTTAACGGTTGGACTTGATGATCTTAAAGGTATTTTCCAACCTAAATGATTCTATGAATTTATACTGGATATCCTTGTCATTAGTCAAACAGTTGGAATTTTAATTAAACCTGGTCTTGCTGATTCGAGTGTTGGCCATTGTGGTTACCACTTTGTTTTACAGAAGTTATCTACAGATTATTGGGTTCAGATAGATAAAGAAGAGTAGCAGACTGCTAAAATCATGCATTCTTATTAGTGCTTTTTCAAAAAAGAATCAAATCTCTGCTTTTTATTCATAGATAAAAAATGTCAAGATTAAAAGCAAAATAAGAGACAAACAGGAAAAAGCTCATAGTTGTATGGCTCCATAGTACTGAAGCTATATGTCTAGGTGCTTTGTACCCACTGTAATATGAATGTAATCAATTTACACTCTGTAACATTAATGGTTTGCTTCCATGGTAACTTTTTCGCTAAAAAGGCTTAGAAGGAGCACTGAAAGTCTGATTGCAAGAGGACTGTAAACAATAGAGAACATTCTTTTCTAATATGATTTTAAATATGAGGAAGAAAGCTAGCTTCCTGACAAACCTGTCTAGTTTTTGTGTGTGTATCTAATGTCATCCTTTGTCTCTGTTAAGATAATATCTATTTTTCTTTATCTGGGGAAACTGATTAAAAGATGGTTATAGTATGCTCAGTATGGGATGCTTACTAAGAAGAGCAAGAGAAGTCTTTGCACGACTTTCCTGGGCTTAACTTTCAGTTCTCATTTTGTGGTCTGAAACCTGTGAAGATCATTCTCTGGGGAAAAAACAAACCAACCAGCCTGCTTGAACTTACTCATACGCATTTACATCAGAGTGCATATACAATATAGAAACATACAAAAATGGCAATATTTACTGTTCATCTACACTGAATGGCCTGAAGCCATTTCTTTTCTCCTAACAGTCTTTTCAGCTTTGAAATCAGTTGATGCATTGGTCTATAAATATTAATAAACCTGACTGTTTTGGGGGCTCTTGAAGTTCATTCTTATAAGCCAGATTTTCATGGAAAATGTTGTTAGATTTGTTGGCTTAATGGTCTGTAGCTTACTGATCTTGCAGTTCTTGGGCATAGAAAAGACAAGTCAACATGCGATTTTCCATTTAAGGTTTGCAAAGATAGTTTATTAATCTATCAAGGGAAAAATCATAGTAATAGTCAAAGCTTGTCTGTTTTGACTGTTAACTTTGATTAATCATACTTGCATTCTCTCATCTGGCTAACTTTAAAACATTTCCAAATTACAAATAAATTCTTCAGTTAAAAAAAAAATTGTAACGTTGAAGCCTTGAATATAGTTCATAACCAAAGCAAGGGGAAAGTGGGTTTTGTGAATTTTTTTTTCTTTTTTTTTTTCTGTTTTGGGGGAGAGATGGGAGGTATAGATTAGAGCATATGGTACTGCTTAAATTGAGAGTGTTTTTTTTCCCAGGTTCTCTGCTAATTGTATTGCTAAAATGCACTTTTGTATAGAAAACTGTCCTCTGTACATTCTGTACCTACTTTACACAATGTTTATAGAGATTTTTCTGAAGTTGTGAAGGATTTACTTAAAGCTGCAATGCTGGTGACTGATGCTGTTGACTTAAGTTTTCATTGTACTTGAAAATAGTTATGTGCATATTGAAGTACAGGTTGGAATTAAAATTGATGACATAGCAAAGTTATTCTGATGAAACTATGTGGCATCTTCTTCAGAGCAGGGGCATTCATATATACGGCTTGCATACTCACTGTTCAGGTAGAAAGTACAAATAAAGTGGCACGTTAACTGTTCTTTGACAGAAAGCAAATCAGTCCCTCTTTAACCGGTGTGGTTTGTTATCCACAAAATCTGATCAGAATTGTTTCATATGAAAACAATTATTTGTTGTGAATGATGCAACCCAAGATCTTGTACTGAAAACCATCTGCCCTTAATTTTTATTTCTATGCCAGGGGATTTTTTTATATATATGCTATATACTATGCCACTGTGGGCACAGGAAGTCTAATCACTTTTATTGCCAGCAATAACTCTGAATCTTCTTATGCGGTCACCCATAGCCATCTCACCATTACCTATACTGTGATGTTTAAAAGCCCTAACAGGACTTACAAGCTGACAACCTACCATGCTCTTACAGTTCATCATGCAGGCACCTGTGTGTCACTATTGTAAATCCAGATCTCATTTGCTACAGCAGAAGCAGGTGTGCTTGGGGATACCAGAAATGGCAGTAATGCACACCAAGACATGCAGCACCAGTGAGGACGCGGCAGTGGCTGTGGCTTTGCTATCACCATTTTTTCAGTAAGCTCCAGTGAGGACAGTTGCCAGCCTGTATATTTAGTGTTGTTGCCTTCTGCAATACTGAAGTTTCAAGTGTAGTAGTATGAAAATTCCTTTTTTTCCCTTGGAATCCAGCACAAAAATCCTGAAAACCTGAGAAGAGAATAGCTGGCATAAGGATGTATTCCTCAGTGTTCAGAAAGTCTCATGCAGCACCTCAGGGATGTAAAATGCTTTGTTCATTCCAGCTAAGACTCATCAAATGCTTACGGAAGTTAAAATTGACCAAAAGTTACCATCCCAGCCTGTTTTTATAGATACTGCAGGATGGGGAGGGACAGGTGAGGGCAGAAACACTGCATATCACAGCAAGTCTTGTCAAACTGTCAGAGACCTTTAATTGTTGTGGAGTCTGTGAGTGGGAGGCTGCAGAATGTAACTGCAGAAGCTGTTGCTCTTGGGATGCTTTGCCTTCACTTCAGCAACCTGCTTGTGTTTTTGTCTGTTTTCACCCAAAGGTGAGTGACAGTGCAGAGTCTCTTGCAGCAAAACAGATTGAAATGTTGCCAAGAACCTCGATCTGTTGTGGTGGTCGCTTGTAGTGAGGACTTACTGCTCCCTGGATAGCACCTAGAAGGAGCAGGGCAGTTGATGCTTATGCTTTCTGAATCACAGGAGCTCAGTGAGCTGGTCTGCCCTGCTTTGGACTTCTGAACTTTCCCAGTAAGTCCCGTTGCAGCAGTTCATTACGGAGGTAACAGTTGCATGGATGAGTTGTTAAACCTTCTGGCAAGCAGCTGCCTATCTGTCAAGTGAGGTCATGTGGTCACAGCTAAACACTGCTTGTTATGGATCTCTTACTAACCCTCCTTAAATGTTTCTTCATTTATCTCAAGTTTATCAAGTTTCACTGCAATGAGAAAGCCTTGTTTGATGGCCAAACACTGTTTGGGCACAGGCCAACCCAAAATTTCCACACTGGCAAAACAACTGGATAAACTTCCTTTACTAAATTGATAGGGAAGTATGGCATTGGCTATGACCATGCTGTCCTCAGCCCTCTCATAACTACTGGCCTGAAGCGTACACTTGATCCAAACATTTCCCAGTACAGAAATATTTACAATTTGGTTTCCTGAGATGCTTTGTATGTGCTCCAAAGTATCCTGTGTTCTACTGGATAGAAAACATTTTTTTTTCACCTCCTTCTGGAACATTCATCCCTTGTAAATGGTTTCTCT